TTCATCTCAGAGAAACTCTTGTGACACGTGTGTTCAGCAAAGAAGTTTACTCAAGCGTAACGTAGTAAGTACAGACAAAGCTAGGATTGGCTTGGCACATCTTACAGCACAATTTATAGTTCCCCCGTTCCTGCGCTTAGCCCCTGTTGCTTGGTTACAGATTACCCGCAGTAATCCCCCCCCCTCACTCAAATGGCAGATTTAGTCCAGTTCTTTTGTGTTCTTGATTGCTTTTTATCGATGGTGTGGTTGTTGTCTTCGTTGGGTCTTTCTGTTGCATGCAAACCTGGGAGTTGTCTACAGCTCCCGAGGCAAATTGGCGTTGACACAAAATATCTGCTTGTGGTTTAGTTAAGCAGTTCCAGCTGGCCCATTAATCAGTTCATGGTTTCTCACTTCCCCTTTTCTTCTGCTAGTGCTGGGGCGGTGAAGCTGACTAAGCGCGGCTGGGCAAGTCCCTAGCCGTGCTGCGCCGGCTGAATCTGACATCTACAACATACAGTGTAAGGACTACAACGACCACTATGTAGCAGAGTGCATTCATGAACACCAACTAGCAGTCAGAAGACAAGATGAAAAGGGGGGTGGCAGGGGCAGCCAAAAGGGCAAAGATTGGGGCGAGATAGGTGGGTGAGATGAGTTGAAGAGGAGAGCATGACATGGCAGAAGAAGCATGAGGTCCTCACCTAACAATGGCTCAGTCCTGGCCTAACGAACACAACCAGCACTACCGAAACTGCCATTACTAAGCAATGTGGTCAAATTATGTTTTCCCAATCAACTGCATCACTTAGCAATGGAAATTCTGGTCCCAGTTAGAGTCGTTAAGTGAGGACTACCTGTAGAACAAAATAGAATCATACTTTGAAGTGATCTTGTCATGCTGGAATCAATAAGGTGAGGTTCAAGGGGTAATCAGTAGACACACAGAAATAAACCATATTTACACACCATTCAAAAGAGAGAATAAAAAAGCTAAGAAGGAAACAAAAAGACCAGAACACATCCTCTCCAGCAAACAACACCCAGATAAGCAGGGATTAACATCAAGCAGAAAACAAGGAACTAGCAAGGAGAAAACCATACTCCCACCAAAACTGGCAGGGCAAGCTACTGTATTCACAAACCCCACACTCACTCTCACTGATGATGTTACCTAATTGGGTAATGAAATGTCAGCAAGCAAACAACCAAGTTCAGAGAGCACCAAGGACTCCACAGTTCAACTCTGAGCTACAGATATTCTTTTTGTAAAATAAATGATGACATGCTGTTATATGTCATGTGTTGTTGTTCATCTGAGGTTGTATTTACCTACTTTTGAGAACTGCTAAGGATCAGATGATACATAAAACCATAGAACTATGTCATGTGTTGTTGTTCATCTGAGGTTGTATTTACCTACTTTTGAGAACTGCTAAGGATCAGATGATACATAAAACCATAGAACTCAAGGAGGGTGTAATTTCTTTTTCACATGACTGTACATCAGACTAAATTCTTAATGTCTGAACTTTTTACCTTGAGAACTATCTCAAGAAAATTTCCAATGTCATGATTAAAATTAATTAAAAACCTTAATTAAAAGATTAAAAACCTTAGAATAAGTGAAGTGATGATGATACCATGAGGCAAAATTAGGCAGTTATTTCAGGCAGCTGATTCTGGGGTCATGAAAAAGCAGACAATGTATTAATTATTTAATTTGTTAGCATATTTTTCCTGACAGAGGAAGAGGTTCTCCAAAGCATTCATAAAACACGGATCATAACATTCTATGTAATACCATCTCCATCGACCAAAATTTTGTGAAGAAGGTCCTCAATCATTTTTAGTCCTTTCAAGTGGGTCTTGAAAGATTATAAAGGTTGAGAATCTCTGGTCTGTAGAGTTCTGACTCTCCATGTTTTGTTTGTTTGTACAGCTGAAAAAGTAACTTCCTTGGGAAAAGATTGGCACAAGTTTTGTTTGAAATGTGAGCGCTGCAACAAGACCCTGACCCCTGGTGGCCATGCAGAGGTGAGTGATAAAAATGAAAAGATGAAGCACTATGTTTCTGTATCGTTTAGATTCAGTGATAAACTTAAGAGTTAAATAAATGCCATATTGTTATACGAAATAGATACTATATGAGTCTTTTCTGTTTTGTATTAATTTTTTTTCTTTTTATTACATTTAGTTTAATTACTATACTGTATAGGTATGTAGGTTCTTTTTTCAATAGGTATATATGTAAGTTCATTTTTCAATTACTATATTTTTTCTATTGTGGGTGACATTTGTATTTCACTATTTTTAAAAATATATAGACATAGACATGTATATTTCACAGATACGTTTTATGATTTGATGGCAATTTTGTTAGCGTCCCTTGTAAAATTATAAAAGTCTGTATTTTGGATCCTTGTTTCACATCATGGATGTCAGGCCTAGCCCAAGGAACTCCAAGAGACCATGTAAATTCAGTCCAGCAATGTTTATTAGCTACACCCTCAAGCAAGAATCTTCCCAGACTGAAACCCCAGCCCCAAAGCAAGGCCAGCCACAACATTGTGAATTC